TTTGTAAGCAATAAACGGGTTTTAAACTTTATTTTCTCCCTTTGACTGATTTTGGTTTTTAGAGGTATTTTGCCCTGGGATTTCCTTTTCCAGGACTTACAAGAAGTAATAAATAGGCTCTGTACCTGTCTTGGATTCAGAGAGGGGCCTTGCCCTATTCCTTGTAATCTAGATCACTGCGCACATCACAAATACTGAATCACAGAGCCGTTTCACTTTCTTTTTGACATTATAGGAGAGGCTCCTTAAAGTTTGGTAACCAGTGGAGGACCAGAAATTCTAAGAAGGTAAGTATAAGGAGATCTTGCCTGGAGGCCACAGGAGACTGGCTGAGAGCAGAAGAGGTCCTAGTGGGTAGGAGGAAAACTGCACCCAGCCCCTGTGTGGGTAAAATTGTAATATTTCCAGAATCTCTCCCCTGGCTTTAGTACATCTGCATATCAATAGGTGTCTCCAAGAGATGGAGAGTAGCCATCTACATATCAGTAGGTGATAACAAGGCTGTGCTAGCGTTTATCTGGACCAGAGAGTTCGGTTGTAGCCGTTCTTCTGCTGCAGCCTGGTCAAGAGAGAAACTAGACAACTGCTTGTAAGAAATAAACAGGTTTCTTAACTTTATTTCTCCCTTTGACTGATACTGGTTTTAGAGGTATTTTGCCCTGAGATTTTCCCCCTGGAGTAACACCATGGAAGCCAAAGGAGGGGCAGCCACTTCACTTTGGTCACTCCAGATCACACAGGTGGGGGTAGACACATCAGAGTCCCCAAGTTAGTCAGGAAAATAGGTATGAGCAGGGTGGAAAGAGAAAAAGACCCAAAATTAATCAATTAAAGCTAAAAAAGCCAAGAGCAACTTGGCCTGGAGTGTTTGAATATTTCCCAGATAAAGGAAGGTACCTCAGCATAGCCCATGTCTTTGTTGTGTTAATCATGGAGGCCCAGCTTACTTTCTTTACCTTTACCTATATGCTGTTTTTTCTCCTTCCAGCCCTAATTAAGTAGTTTGTAACCTTGGCAACTAATTTAGCATGCAGACCCAGCCATAAACAACACAGTAAAAGGCAGGAAAGATTCCATCTTAAAGATTGTATTTTTTTAAATTAATTTTGTTGTCATTAATCTGCAATTACATGAAGAATATTATGTTTACTAGGGTCCTCCCTTCACCAAATCCCCCCCACAAACCCCATTACAGTACTGTCCATCAGCATAGTAAGATGCTGTAGAATCACTACTTGTCTTCTCTGTGTTGCACAGCCCTCCCCATGTCCCCCCACATTATACATGCTAATCTTAATGCCCCCTTTTTTTCCCACACCCTTATCTCTCCCTTCCCTCCCATTCTCCCCAGTCCCTTTCCGTTTGGTAACTGCTAGTCCATTCTTAGGTTCTATGATTCTGCTGCTGTTTTGTTCCTTCAGTCTTTCTTTGTTCTTATAGTCTTTGGGTTTGAGGTGAGTCTCTTGTAAGCAGCATAGAGATGGGTCTTGCTTTTTTATCCATTCTGTTATTCTGTGTCTTTTGACTGGTGCATTCAGTCCATTTACATTTAGGGTGATTACTGAAAGATATGTACTTATTGCCATCGCAGGCTTTAGATTCGTGGTTGCCAAAGGTTCAAGGTTAGCTTCTTCAGTATCTTACTATCTAACTTAACTTGCTTATGAGCTATTTTAAACACTGGTCATTCTTTATTTTTCTCCCTTCTTATTCCTCCTCCTCCGTTCTTTATATGTCGGTTGTTTTATTCTCTGCTCTTTTGTGCTTCCTTTAACTGCTTTTTGTGGGTAGTTGATTTTATTTTTTGCCTTTAGTTAGTATTTGGTTGGTCTGCTTTCTTTGCTGTGATTTTATTTTCTCTGGTGACATCTGTTTAGTCTTAGGAGTGCTCCCATGTAGAACAGTCCCTCTAAAATACCCTGTAGAGGTGGTTTGTGGGAGGCAAATTCCCTCAACTTTTGCTTGTCTGGGAATTGTTTAATCCCTCCTTCATATTTAAATGATAGTCGTGCTGGATACAGTATTCTTGCTTCAAGGCCCTTCTGTTTCATTGCATTAAATATATCATGCCATTCTCTTCTGGCCTGTAAGGTTTCTGTTGAGAAGTCTGATGATAGCCTGATGGGTTTTCCTTTGTAGGTAACCTTTTTCTTCTCTCTAGCTGCCTTTAAAACTCTGTCCTTGTCCTTGATCTTTACCATTCTAATTATTATGTGTCTTGGTGTTGTCCTCCCTGGGTCCTTTCTGTTGGGAGTTCTGTACACTTCCATGGTCTGATCAATTATTTTCTCCTCCAGTTTGGAGAAGTTTTCAGCAATTATTTCTTCAAATACACTTTCTATCCCTTTCTCTCTCTTCTTCTTCTTCTGGTACCCCTATAATGTGGATATTGTTCCTTTTGGATTGGTCACACAGTTCTCTTAATATTGTTTCATTCCTTGAGATCCTTTTATCTCTCTGTGTCAGCTTCTATGCGTTCCTGTTCTCTGGTTTCTATTCCATCAATGGCCTCTTGCATCTTATCCATTCTGTTTATAAATCCTTCCAGAGATTGTTTCATTTCTGTAATCTCCTTACGGACATCATCCCTTAGCTCTTGCAAATTTCTCTGCAGCTCCATGAGCATGGTTATGAGCTTTATTTTTAATTCTTTTTCAGGAAGACTGGTTAGGTCTATCTCCTTCTCAGGGTTTGCCTCTGTGATCTTGGTCTGTATCAACTTCTTCTGCCTTTTCATGGTGATAGACATATTTGTGGGGAGCTGGCGCATGTGTTGGGTAAGAGAAAGTCCCTTCTTGCCAGTTTGTGACCTCCCTCTCCTGGGAGAACAGCGGCCTCTAGCAGCTTGTGCTGGGCAGCTGCATGCAGACGGGGCTTCTGATACTTGCCCGGCTGCTATGGAGTTTATTTAGCTCTGCAGTTGCTGTGGGCATGTCCTGCCTCAGGCTGCTTCTCCAATATGGCAGAGTGACATTGGAGGGGGAACAGGCAGGAGGCTGTTTATCGCAGTGAGGGGCCTCTGAGCTGTGCTGCGGGGGTTCAGGTTTCCAGAGATCCCCGGGATTCCCAGCTCCTGGGCTAAGTGTCCCGAGGCACTTCCGTCCAGTTGTGTGGTCCCTGTCCCTTTAAGACTTTCAAAAAGCACTTGCTTTTCTTTGTCCTGGGTGTGCCAGCCGCGGGGACCTGCTCACAGGTCTTACTGTCCTGTTTCCCTAGTATCCAGCACCCCACACACGCACTGTGTCTGCACTCTGGTGTGGATGGCTAGGGCTGGGTGTTCAGCAGTCCTGGGCTCCCTCTCCCTCCCCACTCCGACTCCTCCCCTCCCGCCAGGAGCTGGGGTGAGGGCCATTCGGGTCCCGCTGGGCCACGGCTTGTATCTTACCCCCTTTGTGAGGCGCTGGGTTCTCGCAGGTGTGGATGTAGTCTGGCTGTTGTCCTCTGTCTTCTGGTCTCTCTTTTAGGAAGAGTTATATTTGTTGTATTTTCAAAAATATATATGATTTTGGGGGGAGATTTCTGCTGCTCTACTCATGCCATCTTGGTTCTCTGCTTAAAGATTGTATTTTAATACCCAAGAATTAAAAATGTAAGATTCTTAACTTACTCTTTAGCAAACAGACAATAGTTCAGCCCACCTTGGGAGCTGGGCAGGCAAGCTGTTTGATATGTGCCAGACCAAGACGCCTGTATCCAGGGAGAAATCAGAGCAGGAAGTTCCTTGTGTTAAGTTAATTCTAAGTATTCAAAGACCACTTGACAAGTCTACACCCCCAGCCCTTTGTCACATTCCTAAAGAATCCTTATAAGGGGGAACACTCAACCTTTTACGCGCTCCTCTCTCTGAGGATGCCCGCACTAAGTGCGTAACCTTTTAATCTTAAACTTTCTCTCTCCAAACCTTTCAGGGCACTTCTCCTTGCTGAGGATACCTGCTGCACTTCTCTTTTTAAGTTACTTTAAATTAAACTTTTACTCTGCTTCACTACTGTGTCTCTGCCCTTCAATTCTTTGTTGTGGCAGGCACAAGGATCAAGGAAAATATACAATGCTCCCCCAATCCCCCAATACCCAGACGCTTGCTCTCTTCTTTCTCGCATCTGCTCAGCTGCTGTAGTTTTGAGATGTGAACTTCCAGAAAGGAGGGAGAGTATGTGCTCAACCTGGCTCCCAGGTCACTCCCCTTCTAATCTTGGGCTTGGTCCAGGTACCAGCCAAGTGTCTGGGGTCTAGCCAGCCCCAGTTCAATGGTATAGTGTATATGAAAGGACCAGGAAGGAGAAAAATTAAGCATGGATCCTAGATATTTTACCTGATGAGGATGAAAATGCATTTAATTGGGGTAGGAAAAGCTCAGGTGGGAAAGAGGAGAATCAAAAGATTCTATTTTTGCTATGTTGAATTGAGATGCCAACAGATAGCCAAGTAGAGATTGCAAATGAGTAACTGGAGATTTGAATCTGGAGCTTGGGGGAGTGGTCGAGCCAGGGGCAGAAATACTTTTTCAAGTGCCTGATAGAAATTTGCAGTTTCTATATTGTAGATTATATATTTGTATCCTCTACCTATTTACCTATTAAGTCTCTGACAATCACTGTTAAAATTCCCACCAGTTTAATACAGTTGAAAATGTATAACAAACCATGCCCACATCATCTTATCTTCACAACAAATCTGACAACTTTTTAAAAAATCTTTATTTTATAGAGAAAGAGACTGAGGCTTAATGAGATAATCAATTTCTCATGCTAGGAAATGGCAGTACCGGAAGATAGATATTTGCATCTAATGAGTTCTGACCTCCACATACAAACGTAGAAGTCGTCAGCATACAACACCTAAGAAAACCATATTCATCTTCCATGAGGAAGTGATGGCCACCTTACATTCATAAGGAAGAGGTACACTGAGTCTCCCAAGAGAAGTCATAGGATGGTATATACAGAAAATTAGACATCAGACCCTGTGGGTAAAATTGGAGTATTTCTAGAATCTCTTACCTGGCTTTAGTACATCTCCATATGAACAGGCGTTTCCAAGGGGTGGAGAGAAGTAGTCCATTTCCATACCAGTAGGTAATTACAAGGGCGACTGAGGGCTTATCTGGACTGGAGAGGTTGGGTGGAGTTCTTTTCTTCTGCAGCCTGGTTGAGAGAGACACAGGATGACTGCTTATAAGAAATAAATGTGTTTCTTAAACTTTATTTCTCCCTTTGGCTGATTGCAGTTTCAAAGTATTTTGCCCTGGGATTTTCCCCTGGAGTTACAGACCCTTATTTCTGTGCACATTAAGAGTGAAACCATTTTTCAGGAATGGACTCACATTAACCTAATTTATGAATCTTATTTTTAAAGCAGAATATCAGTTGCAAGGAGAAATTGCTCTCCTAGAGACAGGAATACGTAAAATCCATGCAGCTAGCTTTCTCTTATCCTGGACAAAGAATACAGTGTATTGAAATATTTAATGACTTTAAGCTAAGAAAATCACGCATCCATCTCACTTGCGGGATCATCTTTGCAGGGAAGAAAATCTGTGCCTCCTAATGCCTTTCATCAGCTCATTCCCTCTCATTTTATCAGTTTGACCACACCCTGCTGTCTCACTCTAAACTTCATGATGTATCTGTTTGGCCTCTAAAGGCATTTGTAACCCTGGCCCTGTGGCCTGAGCCAAGTACCAATTACATTGAATGAAAACCCCCCTGAGCAGTATTTCAATAGAGAATGCCAATTTGCATCTCTGAGATCATCCTTCTTTGAGCCTCTAAGTCTGACCAACCCTCCTCACAGACAGTCACTTCAGATATTTTAACAAATTTAATCAAATTACCATCAAACTCTTGCCCTGGGATCCAATCTGATCTTTAGGTCATTTTTGTAACTTTGTTTGACAGTATGTTAAGCCCTCAGCCTCATTAATTACTGATCATGGAACATAGCCAAGCCATTGATTCTGTCTGTGCTTCAGTTTCATAATCCGTAAAATGGGAAAAATAATATCAAAGTCATAGAACTACTGGGCAGTGCCCAAGCTGTGGGAAATTCTCAGTGTGTTTACTGTTATTATCACCCTATGCCTGTCATCATTATATGCTGAATTTTACCTTTAACTTTCAGGGTACAGATTTATTTCCAAGTTGTTAGGTGAACCCTTGCTATAAAGCCCAATAGCAATGATGTCAGGCACAGGTGGTTTTGAGGCTAAAGAAAAAGTGGGACAGTGAACCCTATAACAGGAGCTTGAAAGTTGAATGGAGTAGTAGTAATCAGAGAATTTTAAAGATTAGACAGGAAACATTATGCAGTGTTTTGTTTCCTTTCTTTTCTTTTTTTTTTTTTTTAGCAAAAGACCCCTTTACAGTCTGGTAAATCTTCTGAATGCCTTCTCAGAGTAAAGATTTTAAAGGTACAAAATAAAATACACAGGATTACAAAAAATTAAATGATATTGGAATTATTATCAAAATATTCCAAAAACCAACTTGCATTAGAGTAATTTGTGAGCTTCTTTATTAAAACATTAAATAACATGATCTAGGAAGACCCATAATGACGATAAGTCAGCAGTTGGGATGAAAGCAAATATGACAAAATATTTGTACCAATTATAATGTATAATAAAAACATCAGTATTTCTACTAGTGACAAAGCTGTAGGTACTGCTAATACCCCCAGGGTGTGTTGACAATAATCATGATTGAAGAAAATGTTAAATTTCAGCTACAGTTAATAAAAATAAAGATACAATTTTCCCCCCATCCGTATCTATGTGGTCCGTGGACCCCAGATTAAGAACCTATGCATCAACGGATAGTAATACAGACACCAAAAGAGGAGATAATTTAGAAAGAGAAACTGATTAATACATTTAGCATAAAGATTAGACATTATAAAGATGAAAATGCCTATGGGTTTGTCACTTAGGAGATAATCAGTGAACGCCAGGGCAGTTTCATTAGAGAAGTTGGGGGCATAATCAGGTTACAGTAATTTTAGGAGTAATTGGGAAAGGGGAGGGCAAACATGAGCAAGTGCAGAAGTAAATGAAGATGTCAGTTTTAAGAAGCTTGGCTTTTAAGAGCTGGTGAGGGAAGTGCCATAGATGAGAAGAGGAAGAGGTCCAGGCGTATGGTCTGCGCTTTGGGCAAAGAGCCGTAGAAAGGGAGTGGCTAGCCAATCAAGACAAGGAAAATACATGATGGAGAGAGACCTCTGAGGTGGTAGGAGGAGTCGAGACCAAGAGAGCAAGCAAAGGAATTCGCCAGGGACAAACAAAGGAAAGACTTCTACTGAAAGGGGGGAGGGGGGCAACACTGAAGGCAGATGCGGAATGACAAACAACAAAAAACCTAAGTAGAGACCAGAAAGAGGGAATTTTTGTTAAGGAAATCTATACCTTTGTCCTGTCCTTTGCTGTCACTGGTCCAAATATGCATGTTCTCTACTCTAGGTGAAGACAGTAGGACCTAAAAGCCTAGAAAAGCTATTATATCAGCTAGGATATTTGTCTTGGTGTAGCTCGGGGTGGAAGGGTGTTCCCGGCCCAGTAGGAATCCCCTATGAAACCGGTGAAATTGGAAAAAGTCAAGGGAAAGGGTAGGTTCAGAGAAACCATTATTTTTTATTGCTCACAGTTTGCTGCAATTCACTGGCTAGGCCTGGACCCAACCGTCTCCTCCTGCTCCAGCCTCAGCTCTCGCTCTGCCACCTCAGCCGGCCCTCTCTTTTCTGTCCGCCCCTTCCGGGAGGAATCCATTGGCGGGTCCTTGGTGACTGGCAGGTGCAAGACCAATTGTGTACCAGGAACGGGGGAGGGGCGAACAGCCGTTATCTCTCCACCCTTTGCCCCGAGGCTGCGGCTGTGAACACCTATTTGATATGTAAGTGGACAAAGGCTAAGTGGGAAATGCTGCGAATTCTGCAATTGGAAAACAACAAAAAGTGCAACATTTGGGACTTACTATTTAACTTATTTGGCTTAAGGAATAAACGTGATGTATTGGCTCATAGAACTGAGGAGCTGTCAGTTGTCTCACAGCTGCCTTTCTAAGAGCTTTCAGCTCTGCTTGCCTCCAGGGTTTGGCTTCATCCTCAGGCTGGCAGCAACATGGCTGAGGAGTTCCGGTTCTCACCACCCTGTGTGAAAACTTCCAGGGCAAAGAAGCCAGAAGAAAGCGAAGCAAAAAATCAAGGAGCTTTCACTTCTTCCAGGTGTGCTCTCTTCAGAGAAGTTGCTAGCAAACCTCCCCTTACATCCCATTGGCCCAACTTGCCTGCTATTCCTGGACCACTCCCTGTGGCAGGAAAATTCCATTCTGCGGCTGGCTTACCAGCCACTGGGTGAGTTTCTGAACTATTGGGGCAGGAGACACTGCACTCCCTATGGCCCAGCCATTCTCCAGCAGAGTGTTGACATGGAGTCATGTGTTGGGCATTCTAGGTTGTCAGAATGATTGCAAGTCAGAGATGTCAAACATCCTAAGATGTGCGGGGCAGTGGCAAAACAGAGCAAAGAATGGGCCAGCCCCAAATGCCCATTGTGCCTGCTGCTAAGATATAACTGCTGTAGACAGAGGCCCACCCTTGAATCTCACTGGTTTCCTGAGGAGTTTTGGTATAATGAGAAATTTCTCTGGTCTTTATCCCTAATTCCTGGCACAGACCTCCTAAAACCCTTGGAAATTCTTGAGTGATAGGAATGTCTTTTGTTATTCATAGTGGGCTTCTTTTGATTACTGCTGAGTTTATGTTAATGAGGTGACTTAAGGTGGGATCCCTACATAGCTTCAGTCAGGCTCATCACCAGAAAGACTACATGATTAGAAGGCTGGAGTTTTCAGGCCTACCCACCAACCTCTAGGAAGGAGATGGGATGGTGCAGACAAGCTCTATAAAAATTCTTGAACAATGAGAAACTGGATAGGTTGGTGAACAAGAGGAGGTGCTGGGAGGGTGGATGCCCAGAGAGAACATCTCTCCCATCTGGTTGTTACTGAGTAGCATCCTTTTATAATAAACGGGTAAGTGTAAGTTAAGAGTTTCCCTACGCTTGTGAGCCATTCTAGCAAATTATGAGAACTGAGGAGGGAGTCCTGGCAACTCTGGTTTATAGGTGGTCAGTTGACAGTACAGGTGGACCCTGGTATTTGCATCTAAGGTGGGGCAGTCTGGTGGATCTGAGCCCTTCTTCTGTGGGATCTGCCACTTATCTCCAGGTCGATAGTGCCAGAAGTGAGTTAAATTTGTAGGACACTCACTTGATGTCTACTGAGAACTGGAGAATTGCTCACTGGGGTTGGAAAATCCTCCAGGAGGATATGATGTCTGAACAAAAGTCAGGAAAGAAGGAGAAAGTGGGCACAGGGGAGGTAAACTACAGATCTTAGAAACACAGAGAGCCTGGGGTTTGGATCCTGGCTCTGCCACTTTGGAGCTGTGTGATTTGGGCAAGTAAATGAGCCTTATTTTCTCTAAGGAGTAAAAATGGAATAATAATACCTACCTCATGAGATTACAGAGAGGATAAATGAGAGAATGAATGTATGCAAAGAGTCTGAAATATCCTGGCCCACAGGAGGGACTCAATGCATGTTTCCTTTCTTCCTGCTCTTATGTGCATTAGTTTACAGCATAGCCACCCAATAGAATCTGGAAGGCTATTTACAACAAATGTTTTTTGAGGTGCTAATATCCTCTAATGAGAACATGAGCCATCATCAAAACCATTAGATTAGTAATATTACAGATGGTCCCTGCACAATGTGTTCATGTCACAGATGGCTCATAATAACAAGTCTATTAATAAGGAGGAATAGACATATCAGTTTCAATTTTGGGCTTTCATTGCCTCCTTAAGTATACTATTATTATTTAAAATAAATGAAATGAGTATGCACACCTGTATTTGCCTTACCATATGTTTCATATGTAGGTGAAGATGCATAAGAAAATGACCTGGTTTTCAATGCATTTTCTTCCCTTTAAACACAGACCTTTGTGCATACTGTTCTCTCTGTCTGGAAGATAGCACTTGCTTTCTTTTAGAGCTAGTGTAAATCATCAATTCTTCAGGAAAGGCCTCGTTATTTTCCAGCCTAGATAGGACCTTTTGTTTTTGTTCTCAAGCCTATGTTTCTGTTATTTATTACTGTGTTACAAACCACTCCGAAGTTCAGTAATTTTGTTTAGGCAGAAAGACAGAAATGAGCGGGATGAAAAGGAGAAAGGCCCCCCCCAAAGAACTCAGGGAGTTGATCAAATAGAACCAGAAAGCCAGAAATGATGCAAAGAGTTAATCAGATGGAGCCACAGGGTCCAAAAGTGACTCAGGAAATGTCCAGGGTCCCCTAGATAAGAAACATCAGAGGCTCAAGCACAGCACAGTCCCTGTCCCCATTTCACCAATCACAACAAGTCTAGAGAGCTGACCGCTTTCAATCAAGGAGCTCTCTGCCCTGCCAAAACCGCATAAAAGAAGCCTCAGAATGAGCATCCACACCTGCCTGTCTTATCTTAGGCAGGCCCTCTCTGCTAGTCTATGCAGTGTGTATTAAAACTTACTTTGCTTTCTTGGCTTTGGTCTCTCGTCTCAGTGTATCTGACTTCCCTGTGACACCGAGCTGAGTCCTTTCCTTCCCAACAATATGAGTACTAACGATGTTATTTTCTATGATTCTTTTGGTTGATCATATGGTTTTTCTGCTTCATGTGGTCTTGACTGAGTTGCAGAGAGAGCTGAAAGGTCAGTGACTGGCATGTCATGCTGGACACCTACTGAGAGTTCAGTCGGGGTTTTTGGCCAGGACCGTGGATGACCTCCACATGAGTCATGTGGCTGTGGAGCTTCACAGAATGTCAACTGGATGCTGAGAAAGTGCATTCCAAGAAGCCTAGTCCCAATGTGGAGTGCTTATCAAACCTGGGCTTGCACCATGTTTGTAATATCTCAATAGTCAAAGTTAGCTATGTGGCCAAACCAGGGTCACATGGAAGGGGATTCCACAAGGACAAAGTACCAGGAGGCATGATTCATTGGGGGCCACCAAAGTCTACCACAGCCAGTAGTGACCCTTTCCTGCATAGTAGTTGGTGTTGTTCATAACTGCATATGCGCATGTATTCTTATACTTGCTCCCTCACTATTAACAGACTCTAGGACCTATGGAAACAGGGATCTTTTGTTTTTTTGCTAGTCATCATGAAACAGAATCTAAAATGCACTTGAAACGTTTTGAAGAAACCCAAGTGACTGGGACACTAACAATCAATGCCACCATGCAGGGCTTGCAAAAGGAATTGGTCCAAAAATGGCCTGGCTGTTGGTAGTTGGTGAAGGGTCCCTACCAGTAAGAGGCAAACTTCTGGCTTCTCTTCGGGGTCCTCAGTTCCCGCCGGTGCCACCTGAAGCCCAATCACCTCTCGCCCCCCTCCCAATCCCAGCACCTAGCCAACAGCCACCAGCCCCGTAGAAGTGACACCTCAATCAATTCATGCCCCTTCCTATATAACCCAGCACCTTTCCCTAATAAAGCGGAACTCTCCGGTGAATTGCTGCTATGTGTCGCTCCTTTCCTTTCAGTTGGTCACCCATCTCCATGCTATTTTGGAGAGAGTCACAGGTGTCCTCCACACCCTTCCCCATCATGGCTTTCGGGACTGGGGTGCTTCCCTCTCACCTCAGGTCAAGTGAGAGGGATTTTAAAGACTATTTGGAGAACTGAACATGTGACTGTCAGCTTCTGATACTCCATCCCTTTAATATCACACTGCTTGTGGGCACCAGTGTTGTTTATGGGCTTCAGACTCTGCAAGGGGATTGTCTCAGAAACCTCTTGCCAGGCAATGCCTCTGAATGAGGAGTGGCTTCCAGAGAAATCTGTACTCATCCTGGATAGACACCCAGTGATGCCTTTAAGCAAGCAACATTAGCTTCATTTATTGGGTGCCTCTCATTTGCTGGGTTCATCACATATATTCTTTCTAATTTGTATGATAACCCTACAAGTTAGGCAGGTGTCATTCACATTTTACAGAAGAGAAAACAGAGGCTGAAGAATGTGTGGCTATGTGTCCAACATCACATAGCTAATAGCAGCAGAGCTCTGTTTTGAACCTACCTCTGTATTCAAAATTCATGTCCTTCCACTAGTCCCAGGTCAGGCAGTCATGGAGAAGACATGTGTCTTCAGGGGCAGATACAGAGACCAAATTTAGGGTATGAGATATTGTATAGGGATCAACACTCATGAAAGGAAGAGGGAGGAAGCGATACTGGGCAGACAGACAAGCTGTGCGGCAATGCAGGTCTCGGCTGCCCTTGTAGGCACTTTGGAACAAAAGTCCATCAGTGTGGTGACCTGCAGGTGGAAGACTGGGCCTTGTACCTCTGCCTCACTCAGGTACAGGAGGCAGGCTGTCCCAGTACAGTGCTTAATTTTGTGTCAGCTTGACTGGGACATGGGGTGCCCAGATATTTGGCCCAGCCTTAGTTCTGAGTGTGTCTGTGGAGGTGTTTCTGGATGAGATTAGCATTTCAATTGGTTAGAGTGAGGGAAGCAGATTGCTGTCTCCAGTGTGGGTGGGCACCATCCCATCAGTTGAGGGCTTGAACAGAACAAAAAAGCAAAGGAAGAAATAATTGCTCTTTGCCTGACTGTGTGAACTGGGATATTGATCTTTTGCCCTTGGACTGGAACTTAACCATGGTTCCTCTGGTTCTTGTGCCTTCACATTTGGACTGGAAATTATACCACTGGCTTTCCCAGGCCTCCCAGCTCACAGATGGCAGATGGCAGATGACAGGATTTCTTAGCCTTCATAATCATGTGAGCCAATTCCTCACATATATGTATGCATGTGTATATATAGTGTGTGTGTGCATGTGTGTGTATATATATATACACACACACTATTGGTTGTGTTTCTCTGGAGAACTCTAATACACCCAGAATGTGTATTTCCTCCAGCAGGGTGACCCTTTGCAGCTGCAAAGAGTCCAAAGGGCTGAGAGAACCCCTGATGACTGCACACCCCACAGCTGGGCACCACATTCTTCCTTGAAGGAAGGGCTCCTGGCCATACATCCCTATATCTACCACACACCTCTGAGCTGTTAATTTCAATTTTTCTTTTGGTAGTTTTTGACTTAAAAAAATTGTGCTACATTAATACTTATGTTTTAATATCATTATTGACTTGAGATTCATTTAATAGCTTAAAAGATTTGAGTATGTGACTCCTAGGTTTAAAATCTGAGAACTGGTTAAAATGGTGAATTTTATTTTATGTATATTTTATCATGATTAAAAAATCTGTGACTGCTACACATTACATATATGAGAGTCCACATTCCCTTTACGTTCCTGAAACCTACCAGAATCAGGTCTTAAGCTGTATTTACAAGCCTCTATTACAGATCACTCCTTCCCCACTCTCAGCTTCCCATCTGACTTCTTTGCTTCTAAACAATGCTTTAGCCATACTGACCTTCTCGTTGGTCCCAGAATATTCATCTTCTCTAACTGCTCAGTATTTTTGCACTTCCTAGATTATCTATTATATTTCCCTGACTTCTCTGCCTGATAAATTCCAACTGATCCTTCAAGATAAAATGTAAATATTATTCAACTCTTCTGGCAATTTTTTTTGCTGTAATCCCTGTTTTCCCATTATGTGTCTTCTAGAGTATGGTTTATATATAGATGCTGTAACTCCGGGGGAAAATCCAGGGCAAAATACCTTTGAAACCGAAATCAGTCAAAGGGAGAAATAAAGTGGGAGAAACCCATTTATTGCTCACAAGCAGTCATCCACTTCTCTCCTGCCTCTCTTGACCCAGCTGCAGAAGGGAACCCACCCAATCTCTCTGATCCGGAGATGCCCTCCCTTGCCCTTGTAATCACCTGTTGATATGGAGATGGACTACTTCTCTCCACCCCTTGGAAACACCTACTGATATGGAGATACACTAAGGGCAGGTGAGAGATTCTGGATATATTGCAACTTTATCCACAGATGAATGTGTATGATTTGGTTATATGTATACGTTACATCATTGTGTTGTGTGAGGATGGTTTTGGCCTCAAGTAACAAAAAAATAGGTCTTACCTCTCTATTGGCTTCACCCCTTTAGCCTATAATTCTGTTTAATGTTAACATTGCAAACTCCAGTGGATATGTTTCAGTTCTTAATTTACTTTATTTCAGTTCTGGTTATCTATTGCTGTGTGTGGTATAACACAAATTTATCTGGCTTTTGTCCCACTGCATTTGAGGCAGAGCTTCACAAATCCCTGGAATTTCCTGTGTGATAGGAGTGGCTTTATTATGCTAATGAAACGAGTACTGGTGGTCTCTTTAAAGAGCTTCAGGATGGGGTGGGGTTGTTGTCAGAAAGACAAACCACCAGATTAGAGTGTCAGGACATTCAGCTGCCACTAGGGATGGGAGCTAGAGACCTAGTTCAAACACCTGGCCAATTATTTAATTAATCATTCCTATGTAATAAAGCCCCAGTAAAACCTTTGGACCCTGAGACCAGTAGCTTACTGGTTGGTGAACACATTGATGTGCCAGGAGGGTGAGGTGCCCTTATTCCACAAGGAAAGGGCATGGATGCTCTGCATTTGAGTCTCTCCCGACCTTGTCCTGGGTGGATCCATTATAATAAAATGGTGTAATCAAGAGTTGGGCACTTCCCTGAATTCTGTGAGTCATTCAAGTGAATTACTGAACCTGAGGGGATTGTGGGAACCTCTGAATTTTCAGTCAGGCAGTCAGAAATGAGTGTGACCTGGAGACTCCAAAAGATTGCACCTGGTGTCTGGAATTCAGGCTGTCCTGCGGAGGAATTTGCCCTAAGCGTGTGGTGTTTTGGGCAAATCTGGATGGATACTGTCAGAACTGAATTGTACTATATCCATTGGAGTTATCTCAGTTGGAGTGGAAATTAAATACTACAGTTAACCATCCAGATAGTTGTTTAAAATAATTTGAAAACCATGATTTCTCACAGCTGTAGGTTGATGGGGCTCAGCCAGAGGTCCTCACCTGAGGTCTCATATGCAAATGCAGTGAGATGACCCTCTGAGGCCTGGGCAAATGGTACCTGGGCTGGACTAGCTGGAACAGCCATGCTGTCTGGGCACCTCTCTCTCCTCAGGGCTGGCTTGGGCTTTGTCAGGGTGTGATGATCTCAGGGTAGTCAGACTTCTTACATGGTGACTGGCTTCTCCCTGATGAGACAATTTCTGGTCAGGAACAGGAATTGGAAGCTATGGCCTCTTGAATTCCATACCAGGAAATGGGCACAGCATCCCTTCCATTGTATTCTTTTGGGAAGACAGTCACAAAACCCACTCGGACTCAAGGGCAGGAGGCATAGAAACCCACTTCTTGATGGAAGGAGCATCAAATAATTTATGGCAGTCTTTAATCTGCCTCATTGTCTCTTTGTCATTTGACAATGTTCACCGCAAATGATATGACATCATGTTCTCTGGTTTTTCTCTGATTTGTAAGTATTCTCTAGTCTTCTTTTATTTTTTATTTTTCCCCCTTGTCCCTTCCTTCCCACCCATCCTCCTCAGTCCCTTTCCCTTTGGTAACTGTTAGTCCATTCTTGGGTTCTGTGAGTCTGCTGCTGTTTTGTTCCTTCAGTTTTTTTCTTTGTTCTTGAATCCAAAGATAAGTGAAATCATTTGATACTTGTCTTTTTCGACCTGGTTTATTTCACTGAGCATAATACTCTCTAGCTCCATCCATGTTGTTGCAAATGGTAGGATTTGTTTTCTTCTTATGGCTGAATAATATTCCATTGTGTATATATACCACATCTTCTTTATCCATTGATCTACTGATGGACACTTAGATTGCTTCCATTTCTTGGCTATTGTAAATAGTGCTGCGATAAATATAGGGGTGCAAGTATCTTTTTCAAACTGGGCTGCTGCATTTTTAGGGTAAATTCCTAGAAGTGAAATTCCTGGGTCAAATGGTATTTCTATTTTAAGCTTTTTGAGGAACCTCCATACTGCTTTCCACAATGGTTGAACTAATTTACATTTCCACCAGCAGTGTCACAGATTTCCCCTTTCTCCACATCCTTGCCAACATTTGTTATTGTTTGTCTTTTGTATGGTGGCAATCCTTACTGGTATGAGGTGATATCTCATTGTGGTTTTAATTTTCATTTCTCTGATGGCTAACTATGTGAAGCATCTTTTCATGTGTCTGTTGGCCATCTGAATTTTTTCTTTGGAGAACTGTCTGTTCAGCTCCTCTGCCCTTCTTTTAAATTTTATTTTTATTATATTTATTTTGGTATCATTAATCTACAATTACATGAAGAACATTATGTTTACTAGGCTCCCCCCTTCACCAAGTCCCCCCCCAAATACACATTCACAGTCACTGTCCATCTGCGTAGTAAGATGCTGTAAAATCACTACTTGTCTCCTCTGTTTCCTCTGCCCATTTTTTAATTGGATTATTTGCTTTTTGTTTGTTGAAGTGTGTGAGCTCTTTATATATTTTAGATGTCAACCCTTTATTGGATAAGTCATTTATGAATATATTCTCCCATACTGTAGGATGCCTTTTTGTTCTATTGATGGTGTTCTTTGCTGTACAGAAGCTTTTCAGCTTGCTATAGTCCCACTTGTTCATTTTTGCTTTTGTTTCCCTTGCCCAGGGAGATATGTTCATGCAGAAGTCACTCATGTTTATGTCCAAGAGATTTTTGCCTATGTTTTTTTCTAAGAGTTTTATGGTTTCATGACTTACATTCAGGTCTTTGATCCATTTCGAATTTACTTTTGTATATGGGGTTAGACAGTGATCTAGTTTCATTCTCTTACATGTAGCTGTACAGTTTTGCCAACACCAGTTGTTGAAGAGATTGTAATTTCCCCATTTTATGTCCATGGCTCCTTTATTGTATATTAATTGACCATATATGTTTGGGTTAATGTCTGGAGTCTCTATTCTGTTCCACTGGTCTGTGGGTCTGTTCTTATGCCAGTACCAAATTGTCTTGATTACTGTGGCTTTGTAGTAGAATTTGAAGTTGGGAAGCGAGATCCCCCCTGCTTTATTCTTCCTTCTCAAGATTACTTTGACAATTCAGAGTCTTTTGTGGTTCCATATGAATTTTTGAACTATTTATTCCAGTTTGTTGAAGAATGCTGTTGTTATTTTGATAGGGATTGCATTGAATCTGTAGACCATTTTAGGCAGGATGGCCATTTTGACAATATTAATTCTTTCTAGCCAAGAGCATGGGATGAGTTTCCATTTGTTAGTGTCCTCTTTAATTTCTCTAAAGAGTGTCTTTTAGTTTTCAGAGTAAAGGTCTTTCACTTCCTTGGTTAGGTTTATTCCTAGGTACTTTATTCTTCTTGATGCAATTGTGAATGGAATTGTTTTCCTGATTTCTCTTTCTTCTAGTTCATTGTTAGTGTATAGGAAAGACACAGATTTCTGTGTGTTAATTTTGTATCCTGCAACTTTGCTGAATTCAGATATTAGTTCTAGTAGTTTTGGAGTGGAGTCTATAGGGTTTTTTATGTGCAGTATCGTCATCTGCAAATAGTGACAGTTTGACTTCTTCTTTACCAATCTGCATGCCTTTTATTTCTTTGTGTTGTCTGATTGCCGTGTCTAGGACCTCCAGTACTATGTTGATTAAAAGTGGGGAGAGTGGGCATCCTTGTCTTGTTCCCAATCTTAGGGGAAAAGCTTCCAGCTTCTCACTGTTAAGTATGATGTTGGCTGTGGGTTTGTCATATATGGCCTTTATTATGTTGAGATACTTGCCCTCTATACCCATTTTGTTGAGAGTTTTTATCATGAATGGATGTTGAATTTTGTCAAATGCTTTTTCAGCATCTATGGAGATGGTCATGTGGTTTTTGTACTTCTTTTTGCTGATGTGGTAGATGATGTTGATGGATTTTGGAATGTTGTACCATCCTTGCATCCCTGAGATGAATCCCACTTGATCATGGTGTATGATCCTCTTGATGTATTTTTGAATTTGGTTTGCTAATATTTTGTTGAGTATTTTTGCATCTACGTTCATCAGGGATATTGGTCTGTAATTTTCTTTTTGTTGGGGTTTTTGCCTGGTTTTGGTATTAGAATGATGCTGGCTTCATAGAACTATGAAGCCAGCATCATTCTAATACTTAGGAAGTATTCCCTCTTCTTCTATTTTTTGGAAAACTTTAAGGAGAATGGGTGTTATGTCTTCTCTATATGTCTGATAAAATTCAGCGGTGAATCCATCTCACCTGGAGGTTTTGTTCTTGGGTAGTTTTTTGTTTACCACTTCAATTTCATTGCTGGTAATTGGTCTGTTTAGATTTTCTGTTTCTTCCTGTGTCAGTCTTGGAAGGTTGTATTTTTCTAGGAACTTATACATTTCTTCTAGGTTTTCCATCTTGTTAGCATATAGATTTTCATGGTATTCTCTAATAATTCTTTGTATTTCTATGGGGTCATGATTTTTCCTTTCTAATTTCTGATTCTGTGTAGATTCTCTTTTTCTCTTAATAAGTGTGGCTATGGGTTTATCTATTTTGTTTATTTTCTCAAAGAACCAGCTCTTGGTTTCATTGATTTTTTTATTTTGTTTTATTCTTCTCAATTTTATTGATTTCTTGTCTGATCCTTATTATGCCCCTCCTTCTGCTGACTTTGGGCCTCATTTGTTCTTCTTTTTCCAGTTTCAATACTTGTGACTTTAGACTATTCATTTGGGATTGTTCTTCCTTCTTTAAATAGGCCTGGATTGCTATATTCTTTCCTTTTAGAACTGCCTTTCTGCGTCCCACAAAAGTTAGGGCTTTGTGCTCTTGTTGTCATTTGTCTCCAGATATTGCTGGATCTCTGTTTTAATTTGGTCATTGATCCATTGATTATTTAGGAGTATGTTGTTAAGTCTCCATGTGTTTGTGAGCCTTTTTGTTTTATTTGT